AATGACAGTATTTTAGTTGGATGGCCTAACTAATACAAATCTTTATCATATTAGAAAGCACATTTTTTGTTAAATAAATGGATTGCCAAAAGATGAAATTTTTTAACACTGCTTCATTTCTGCTTTATTTATCAAATAATGTCAAGATAAACTCAAAAAGTATTAAATATATAACCATTTTAATGTCTTAATTTTAAGCTTACAAGACCACTAGAGATGGCCCCTTTGATTTTGCTGAGTTTGATGTGTATCATGGTATTATCATCCTAATAATCCATGGTAAAGCTACTCAATGCAACACTCAAATATTCAGAACAAAAATTAATTTAAAGTTTTCAATGTTCCTTATATATCATGTTGTATTAACAAAGTGTTAGCAGTAGCAAAGCTGAGTAGATAAGATGCTTAACTACTACAATGCAGAGCTGGGCCTAGAGGTATTTTCACCTGAGGCAGAAGGATAAATTTCCATCCCTATGTATAGTTTTTTTTTTTTATAATAAGTATTAAATAAAAATAAATAAATAAATGACTTTGGGAACAAAATATATTTATTAATTACTAAATAAAGTGGTCATAGCATGCAGTAATAGTATAGTAGTAGTAGTAGTAAACATAAAATTACACATATTACAAATAAAATCACAAAAACCTTAACAAAAGAAAAACAAAATAAGTATTACACATGAGATGAATTAGAATGTTACAAATTTTTCAGTAATTTAATTTAATAATAGACACAAAATAATATCAATAATACATCTATAAATAAATGCCCAATATAAAATCTTTTTTTTTTTTTAAAGTTTTACTTTTCTTGCTTTTAGTGAAGCAAATTCATAAATTCTTTTATCAAAAATTAATTTGTTTTGAAAATTCCTGTTTGATTGATAAAATATTTGACAATTTTTCCTGAGCAAGTGACAATCTTAAATATGTTTTGATAATTTCTAGTTTACTGAAGACTTTTTCACCAGAACCTATAGTAACAGGTAGTGTTAAGAGTATTCTCAATGCAACTTCTAAATTTGGATAGGACTGAACTAAACTATATTCATGAATTGTTTTTAAAGATCTAAACTAGTAGCTGCTTTAAAATCTAGAAATAACATCGTTGCCTGATTTTTGAAACTAATTATTTCTGATAATAATTCCACACAATTTATATTGTTTGGATATTTAAGGGATGTAGCCTACTAGGGCAATATCATATAAGGTAACAAGTGTATCGAGCAAGAGCATCTGACACAAATCATTAATCTGCTTAAAGTATTTGACAAACATTGCAAGATACATTTGGCTTTCAATTTTTGCAATTTATTAATTTTCATTTTTTACCAATTTGGCACCCTTTTCCATTGTTCAACTGACGCAAGTGCCTCACCCTTGTCCAGGCACTGCTACAATGCAAGTTGCAGGTTCAAATCTTACTGTTTTTCAACTTTTTTTCTAACCTGCATTATTGTACAAATATATATTTTTTCTATTTTTAACAAAAATCTCCCTCAATTTACTCATACAATTACAAGAATAAATCAGAATAAATCAGGACTAGAGAAGAAGGAAACTTTCTATGTATTTGATATTTACTGCTAATATAATACAATGTGTAGAAGTAAAAATTGCGGCAAAAATAATTTGAAATTTATTTTTGCATAGCAAATAAATGTTATAATCACAAAATACAAATTTTCTTTGTTAAAAATGCATTGCAGCAGTTGAACACCTTATCCATGAGAACCCAGGCTAAACACAGAAAATTTACTCAAAAAAAGAGAATATAGAGTTTTATTTCACGCCTATATGTTAAAATTTTAACTTTCAACAACGATAGCAAGAAATTATTGTATTTCCCATGGATTTGCTTCCTTTGCAATGTGGCACATCTTCTAAATGAGTTCATCAGGAACCTAACACACAAAAAAAATCATCTATTGGACATAAAACTTAACCTTACCAAAAATGGGCATGAGAATTAAGATGGAGAACCCCCCCAAATAAAAGAAAAAAAAATTGATGCGAACAGATAACTATTGGTATGGTATGGACTTTATTCATTTTCCACAGTTGCTTTACTTCTTGCAAGTGTTCAGTACATTTACTTATTTTTTCTAAATAGCTATTTTGTAGATTATGTGTATTTGATATAGTGATGTCAATGATATAAATGGTTTGGTGCACTTTGTCAAATAATAATAATAGTATGTGAGAAAAAAACATTCTAACGTTTAAAATGATACTTTCTATGCTATGTCATACTATGGTAAGTACCATACTCTGAGCCATAACTAGGCAGGTGCAACAGGTGCACCCGCACAGGGCCCACTTGGAAGGGAGGCCCAAACTGCTGTTCACAAGAAATTATATTTTTTAAATTTTAATTTTTCTGCCTTTCTACAGCGTGGTTTGGCAATTACATTTCGCCTTACTTAGACCCTAGATGTCTGCTCACCAAAGTTCCCAACTGTGGCGACTTTTAAAGGGATGTAGTGAGGTAGCGGAGACCTCAGACAAATCAGCCAAAAGTAGTGATTTTAGAAATTTAAATTTATATTTATAGCTTTCAAATTTACAGATTTTTCTCTAATTTATAGAGCTCTCTGGCAACTATTAATATTATTATAATATACAAAACTGTATTTCTAGATTTTCTACAGTGTGCAGAGCTAGAAATCTGTAAAGGTAATTTTGTAACAAAAATAAATCTGCCCGAGAATTTTTTTAAAATTACTAAACTGAAAACGGTAACTCCCAAATAAAATCTTAGTCTCGAGGTTGTAAAAAGCGTGCAGAAATTCTGACATCATTTTTTGCTTTATAGTAGTACACATTTGGTGTATACCTGAACAGCGGATTAAGCTATAAGCGAACTATGCAGGCACATAGGACCCCGAAGGTGTTCCCGCAGTCTTCAAAATGCTACTGTGAAAAGGGATTGCAAAAACGCAGAAGATAGAAACAGTCTAGAAAAACACTTCGATATACAGTGGTGCCTCATATAATGTACGCCTCCAATAATGGACACTGCGAACAACGGACTTCCTGTTTGGCCATTACGTGACTCGAACAACGGACTTTCCGTTCGGCAGTTACGTGAGGTGAGCAACGGACTTTCTGCAAACAAGTGCAAATGATATTTCCACTCTTGCTGTTGTCAATGACAATCTGCTATTTTTATTAATATTATTAGTATATATGAATATATTAGTATTATTAGTATATCAGAAGTACAAAGCTCCCATTGGGATTCGGCTTGCTCCCTTGTTTATTACGTACATCACTTCAGTGCAGGATATTTATATTTATTCAAGTGTTGTGCAAGTCATGGCTTCTATAAAAACAGAAAGGTGATTTCAATTGAAACAAAGTGAGACATCGTCAGAAGGTGTGAAAGTTGACAAAAACTTTCTTGTCAAATGGGGAGAGGTTCAGGAGTTTAACAACACTCATTATCCAAACAGAGCTGAGGCCAACAGGATCAATGATCTCTACAATGACACCCTTGCCTGTCATTTCCAACAGGTGTTGAAGAAGAGAGAGAAACAGACCCCCTTAGACATGTTTTTCAAGTCAGCTGCCAAAAAACAAAGGATGGAACAAGAGGAGTTGACCCTGCAAACTCCAGTAGCCTCTCCTGAATCTGACTCTGATTAAAAAACAATATAAAGAGACCTGCTGCAATGTGTAAAAAGTCTGTATCTGTATGAATGTGTGAAGAAAGTGTTCCTCCACCTCCTCCTCCTCACAACATCTGACTACCCGGCATAATTGGTGAATGCTCCATTTTCATTTTTTTATGGTACAGTATGGTTATTGTATGCTGAGGAACGAATTATATGTTTTAACACATATTTCTATGGTTCAAATCAATGGTATCAAATGTGTTTCGTATAACAGACTCTTCACTTAACAGACGTGCACTTGGAATGGATAAGTACATTATATGAGGCACCACTGTATATAGATACATGGAAGTAATAAATGATATAGCTTTATGGCCAACAATATTAACAGATGCTATTATTGACCATATTCAACAAACCAAAAAGTATAGAAAAGGGATTTCTTAATAAATGTAAAAATGAGTTAAGATAATGGAAATAGATAAAACACCAAATGAAAGAAGTAAGTTGACACCCAAAAAATTATTTAAAATACAAATTTACAGTGTTCTTGACACTCTGTTGTGTCAAATAGATTGGCATTATGAAAAAATGAAAACTATCTGTGATGATTTTTGCTTTCTCTGTAGCTTGTCTTTACAATACACAAGTGTTGCTGATTTTTAAAAAATTGGCTGCAGATCGCTATTAAATATAGCAAAGATTTTAAAAAGTACGAATTCACAAGTGAAATTGAAGTAATGAACTCATACAAAATATGGAAACTGCATCTCCGCTTAATATTCTACAGGCTCTTCATGATTTTCGTTTAATTGAATCTTACCCAAACATCAATGTCGCTCTTTGAATATTTCTAACTCTTCCCGTTTCTATTGCTTTGTGCGAGAGAAGTTTTAGCAAGTTAAACTTAATAAAAAATTATTTAAGATCAACTATCAGACAAGAACGATTATCCAATATTTCTATTATTTCAATAGAATACAATATCGTTAAAAATATTAATTATGATGGTGTAATTAATGAATTCGCTGAAATGAAAGCCAGAAAAATTCAACTAAAATAAATATTATTAAAAATCTATTGTAATGTATTTGTTTTATTATTTTCCCAAAACCAAATAAATTAAGGGGCCTAAATGCAAATTCTTGCCCAGGGCACAGGATTGGCTGTTACGGCTCTGGCCATACTTTCAATGGCAACTGGTATACAATGAGGCAATTTATGCAAAGGTTATATTTCTGTTCTGGAAATTTTCTGCAGTATATATGCTGTTGAGAGTTACTCATAAAACTATAGTAATTATTATAAATAAAGTGTAATAGAATGTAAAAGTTGCAAATTTTATGTTATTATAATTCATAATGAAACATAACTTACTTTTATAGCTTTGCTGCTACCCCTTATTTTATTTATTTTTGCTTGAGCAACAGAAGTTCTATCATTTAATGTATTTAGTCTTTTTCTAAACTCTTCTACTTTATTCCCTATACGTGAAAAAACATCATTTGTCACTTTTTGCAAATAATTTAGAGAGTCTGCAATATGAAGAATTGTTTCTTCTCTTCTCAAATCAGGTGGAATAAGAGGAACAGTATATACTTGTGGCTTCATGTTTTCTTTTTATTATGCATTCCTTTATTAATATATAAAAATATTGTATTAGTTATAATAATTTTTAGTTTTAATAATCTCTAAAAAGTTATTAAAAATCTAGAATAACTAATTTTAATTATAAAATAAATTACAGTATTTAAATGAAATTTCTTAATAGAGAATCTATATTTTGATGTTTCACAATTTCATCAGCAAAAAATTTCTTCAGTGATAAAAAATAAATAATCAAAATCAGAAAAAAATCTGACTCCATTTGTAATAACTGAGCATCAATTTCAGATTTCTTAAAGATTAAAAAAAAAAATTTAAGAAATATTTAAGGTTCTACAGTTCAACATCAATTATTTTTATAAGTTGAAACAATAGAGTCCAAGCTATTTAATTTGCAGGAAATTTAGCCCACTGATTAAATTGTTTGAGCTCTACATTGCATATAGACAACAAACACACTTATATGTTCCGGATATAAAAAAATATTTTATATCTGGAATATATAAGAGTTTTACATCTCATCCAAAATATGTACAGTACATCGCTATCTGCAAAAGTCTATGAAGCATTCCTCTCTTTGACTTAAGTAATCAAGAGCATTTCTTTAACATTTTAAGCATGTTAAAGAATTGTATAATTTATCATGGCATAACTAGAAATTTTAGTCCCTTAAACAAAATATGATAAAAGGTCCTCCAATGCTAAGACCTATCTCCTCTACATTCATGATGATGTACAAATTTAAACGAAATTTTTAAATTTTAAATTATTGGAAAATATTATTGTAAGTGTAATCAGAAAAATAAACCATAAAAATTGTCTAAAATAAATAGTACACATTTATTTAAAATTAATTATTCTTAGTCAGAACAAACACAATAATAATTAATATTTTTCTTACATAATTAAATAAATTTATATATATATATATATACTGTTCCATAGATACAGTGCCTGAAGCCTGTCCTAGACCCCCTTTATTCTTGGGCCTTTAAGAGTTGCTAAGAGTTAGATCACTAATAATTTAACATTCTTGATTTTTTGATCATCTATAACTGATGCTCAAATATCTTAATGTGAAAAGCCAGAACCCCATCTAAGAAACACATTGAGTCATCGATAAATATTCTAACTGTAGAAAATAAAAGAATTATGTGAAAGTTGGTACCATATTCAAAATCCAAATAAATTTGAATTTTTACCAAGTTTCATGCAATTTTTTGATTAAAAAAAACTGTTTTGCTGGATAAGATCCTATTCAAGAATGAACATCAATCTATACTTTTAAATCTGCCAACCAAATAAAGTAATTCCTATGGATATTTTTAAGGTCTCATCAGAAGGAGATCCCAGATAAATGGAAAAAGAGCATTCTGGTGCCGATCTTTAAAGGTAAAGGGGATGCACAGAATTGTGGAAATTACAGATGTACAAAGTTATTGTCCCATACTATGAAGATTTGGGAGAAAATTGTAGAAAGAAGGAAATTAGGAAGGAATCTGAGATTGGAGAGGAACAGTTTGGCTTTTTGCTGAGAAGGAGTATGACTGATGCTATCTTTGCTCTAAAACAGCTGATGGAAAGGCACAGGGAAATACAGGAAGATTTGCACATGGTGTTCATAGATCTAGAAAAGACATATGATAGGCTACCAAGATAAAGGCTGGTATACACGGTAAGGAAATCCTTTGAGGATTAACCGGGATTTTTTTTCTATCTATCCATTTTTAAATAAAAATAATTCTTTATACGTTGGGAGATATTTTAATAAGTTTTGTAAATTACTATGTTCGATCCAGCCAGTTATATCCGAGTTTTTTTCGTCTGTTAAGCACATCCTTTGAGGATTTCCTTACCGTGTATACCAGCCTTAAGATGCATGGAGATGCTTGAGTGAAAAGAATGTTCCAGAAAAATATGTTAGGCTCGTCAAGAAAATGTACCAGGGAGCATAGACCCAAGTTAAGAGTAGTGTGGGCACTACAGAAGGATTCTTCATTAACGTTGGTTTACATCAGGGATCGTCCCTTAGCCCTTACTTGTTTGACCTGATAATGGATGTGTTGTTGTATGACATGAAGTGTGAAGCTCCGTGGGGTATGCTTTTGGCAGATGATATTGTGCTATGTGAACTTTCCCAAACCAAGGCTGAGGAGAAACTGGAAGATCAGAGGAAAGTTTTGAAAGAAAGGGACATGATGATTAGAAGAACTAAAACAGCTTATATGACTCTGAATGGTAGAGACGAGTGTAATATTAAAATAAAAAGTGTGCTGCTCCCTTTAGTTCTGAGTTTTAAATATCTTGGGTCATTTGTTGAGATGGGAGGAGGATTGAACTCAGAGATGCAGCATAGAAAGCATAGAATTCAATGTGGATGGATGAACTGGAGGAAGCTAAGCGGTGTGCTATGCAACAAGAAAGTTAGCTACAATCTGAAAGGAAAATTGTATAAATCAGTTGTTAGACCTGCAATGTTATATGGAGCTGAGACATGGGCAAGAACAAAAGTCCAAGAAAGAAAAATGGAGGTGGTGAAGATAAGAATGTTGAGATGGATGTGTGAAGTGTCAAGGAAGAATAGAATAAGGAATGATTTTATTAGAGGTTATGTTACGGTGGGTCCCTTGAGCAAAAAGATGCAAGAATGTAGGTTGAGGTGGTTTGGCCATGAAGAGTGAAGAAGCGACAATTATATTGGAAAGAAGATTGGAAAACTGGAAGTAAAAGAGGAAAAGAGGAAGAACAAAGATGCATTGAAAAGGTAAGGTGGAAAAAGTCTTGAACCAGAAGGGACTTAACAGAGAAGCCCATGATAGGTAGAAATGGAAAAAACGTATTAGAGAAGGAAATGCTGACCCCTATATAAACATGGGAAAAGGCGAGGATAAAGAAAGAAGAAGACTGTTCATAAAAAATTTATATGAAATAAATTTTTAACTTTTTGGTTTCTTTAGCTTAGCAGTTTATCTTCAAATTCTAGATAATAACTGTGATACAGTATTTTTCCAATCTTTCTAAGTGGTGAATACTAGAAAATATATTTAAATCTCACCAATATCAATCAATAATATTCAAAATGGCTATAATATTATTATTATTATAACTGTATTATAGCCCGATGGCATACGACAGTGGTTGGCTTTATTATTATAATGTATGGGTTATTATTATTATTATTATTATTATTATTTTTTATTATTATAATGTATGGGTTATTATTATTATAATGGGTTTTAGTTGAGTTGTTTGTAAGATAAAGTATTAAAATAATACATTAATTAATTATTTTTAAGCAACTTTATTAACTGGTATCAGAAAATATTTACATAAACAAACATGAGAACTTGTTTTTCCAGTTTGTTTACATTTTAATTTTCTTTAGAATAAATTTTTTTAATTGAAAGGTAAATAAGAAAAGAAAAATAGAAAAATTATATTAACAACAATTCTAATATTTCAATGTTAATCAAAACTGAATTTTCTCATTTTAAAAATACTTTCATTTCATATTGAAAAAATAGAAAAAAAAAATTAAGAGTATTAATTTTTTTTCTATTTTTTTTCATATTTCCTATTCCATTTGGATTACATAATATGCTNTACTTGAATATATATATATATATATATTCAATATATATATATTGAATTGAATTTATAAGCAATTATAAAACGTAACTAACAAATCATTATTATTTAATTTTTTATTGATGGTATTTGCAGATGATGTATTGATTTAAACAGATAATGTAAATACATATTGTATTGTATGTCCTTGTAAAGATCAAAAATTGAAAACAGGATACTCCTTATTATATAATATATTAAAACAAACTTGAATAAAAGTATGAATTGGTTCAAACAAACAATTCAAAATGAAGATTCAATTAAATTCAAAAGAATTAACATGTTGTTATGCAAGAATTTGAATAAAGTATTTATTATTTAAATGTTAAAAAATACATATGTACTGTGCATATAATAAAAGACTAACTGTAATAAAATTACAACAGTATCATCACTAACAAGTAAGTTTATTTTTTGTAATGTAATTGCTTCTGTTTGGTTATTTGGTTTTGTTAAATTTATACAGGTTTAAAATTTTTGTATAGCTGGCACTAAATCCATTGGATTCAAAAATATCTTTTATGTACTGATTTATTTTATTTAATATGAAATGCTAGAATCAGATCTTGCTCCTTTTCAAGATAAAACTTGAATATTAATCACCATCTATTATTAAAAAGAAACATATATAAAATTATGAGCATTTTCGTTGTAAAACCAAGTATAACTTCACCAGATTGTTTATAAGAGAAAATTTAAAATAAATCTGTATAAGGAAATTTAAATTGATATTCAAAATTATGCATATTTTATAAAAGTTTTCTATTTATGAAATTTTCAAATTATGAACAAATAAAATCAAAATATATTCTATTGCGCAGTATTCTATGACAAAACACTGTTTATTTAAAAAAGAAAGTAAATATTTTAAATAATAATAATGATGATAAAAAATATATTGAAAATATATACATATATACATATAAAAATGTAAAAGCAAAATATGAAGATGATGGTCACAAATTTAACCAAAATATTAGCTTGACTAATTGAATAACAACTTATATCTTGGAAACTTTAATTGTGGAGATACTGCAAATCATATAAAATAGCAAATCAGGTACAAACAAATAAGCCATGTGACTGAATGGAATAAATGCTAGAAAAAGATATATGTATTTATATGCATGCAAATATACATCTTTTAAATATTTGAAATTAATATATTATTTTTATGTAGAAATTAAAGATAAAGTTAATCAGCTTGAATTTATGTAATCATAAATAATGGTAGATTAGACCCTGATACAACGTTAATGGTAGTCTAATAAACTATTACAAGGTTGGTTTGTTAATCATTCTAAATGTGATATTTACATACCCCTACATCAGAATCTTTACCATCTTATATTTTGTCTTTAGGGCATGCATTTATAAGATTTGTGTACAGTTTAAGGGAAGGCGAGGAGGCTGCAAAAGTACATCATTGTACACAATTGGGAAAGATGAGGATGAGACATTGTCTGTACTTTTTTTTAACGATATCAGTGGCATTGTTTTTCAAGCCTACTTACTAGTCATGTGAATGAACCATCAGTTAAAAATTCTGCAAATATTTTCTGACATTTCTTCAATGCCATAAGGGTCCACAAATTATATACATAATTAATGGGGGAGGCAGTTTGTCAAAAGTCATAATCATACACAAGAAGTGAGGGTGTCAAAAGTGACTCAAAAATTATACATATAATTCATGGACAGTCCCTTTAATTAATTATGAAATATACAAATAACTGAACATTCTTTTCTATTTACAAAAATTAAACATTTTTTTAATCAAAAGATACTGAATGAATATTGTAATCATTCTTAGTAGTATTAGTGTTATTTTATAGAGTATATTTCTTTTTTTAAATTGGAATTAAAAAATTTTGTAAGAATAACACATTTCAATTACAATATATTTAAAAGGTGCTTAAAATAAAATTCATGCAAAATTTTACGAAAGACATAGGATATATTCAAAAAAAAAAAAAAAATTTTAGATAAATTGAAGTAAACATATTTACCAAAATTCATCAAAACAAATATTAAATATAGTTAACAATTTTATTAATATGTATTTAATTTACAAAGACTTATTGGATGGCCTTCATGTTATACAGAATGTATCACAAAAACTGAAAAAAATTCACATCTCTTTATATTTATTATTGTAAATTTTAAAAGCATATTTCAAGCATTTATGTGAACATATATAAAGCTTACATAAGTGTTATTTACAGGATTTGTCCAATAAGTATTGGGACTGATTTTTTTCCTACCAATGGGAAGGGATGGAGGGCAGTTTCTATGGATGGAATTGGTGGTGGGGAATGTCATGTAAGCTCAATTGTCTCTGAGCCTTTGAAGTGCATAGATAGCAACTGAAGTGAAAGTGTGCTTAGTGCTCGTGTCGAGAGTCAAGATGCAGGAAACCATCAAGCAGAGTTTTGCCATCAAATTTTGTGTTAAATTGAACAAAGGGTTTGACTTTTGATTAGGGTCTGCTGAACCCAAAGGGAGATTGGCAATACCTGGATGTTCCGTCACGACGATGCACCCAGTCATACATCACTAATTGTGAGAGAGGCACTGGCCAAACAGTGTGCCAATGCTGCTCCAACCTTCCTGCAGTACAGATTTGGCTTCCCCAACTTCTTTTTATTCCCTTGGACCAAAAGGAGCCTCAAAGGACATTGTTTCAGGACAATCAAGGCAGTCCATGCAGCTTTGACGGGGTGCCTGGACAGCCTTGCAGTTGCAGACTTCCCGGAGTTTACGAAGACTGGAAAAAGCACTGGCAGCAATGTATTGATGCAGGAGGGTCATATCTTAAAAATTATTAACTCATTGTACACATGCCTTCAATAAATTTCTTTATATGACTTCAGTCCCAATACTTATTGGACAAACATTGTATATATTACATTGCATATAAATGTTAAATAATTATACACAGATAAAATTTTCAATGTGGTTTTTCTCATTGCTTTTAATGTATAATCTAGAAATTTGAAACTGTGTATTTAGAATTGAGTTATATTAATTAATAAATTTAATTAATTCAACAGCATTTAACCATTCAGATGTAAGAAACACATTTAAGCAAACTTTATCTGCATCTTGAAATTAAACCATTTTAAATAAAATTCCAATAAAATGATTTTCAAATTTCTGTTTATTTACTTAATAATTCAACATTTGATATCATTTGTTTACTTTACAAAAACAAAAATTATAGTACTATTCTGCCATTCACCATTTAAACAGCTGTTAAAAATTTCTTATAAATGTGGTAGGAAGTAATTTGTTTCTGTTAATATTTTCAATTTTATCTTAGAAAATTTCATTGCTACTCAAATATGAACAATTATTATTTAAAAATAATTTGATAGACCTAGATATTTAAATATACTTTGGAATAGTAAATACTTTATAATGATTGAGTGATAAATCATATGAATATGAATCTTATCTAAATTGCCATTATAATATTAGAAATTAATTCTTATATGTAACTTGATTTATAAATTGTATATTTACTTAAAATTTAAGATAAATTTATCTATCTATTTTATATTTAAATTAATTATACCATTAAAAAATCATTTTCGTAAAAAATTAGTCAATTACACGATTTTAAAACAGTAAACAAACCTTCCTTATAAATAAATCCCTACACACCCCTTTAACACATCTCTCGTGACAGAAATACTTTTAACTGTTGCCAACTGTTTATAAATTAAAAAGAAATTATATTTAACGAAACGAAGAAATTTTATTATAAAAATATTACATACAATAAAAGACAAAAAGTAATTATAAACAAATTAAAATATGTTTAAAATTTTTATAATGTACATCTACTTAAATAATCGTTGGATGATAATTTCCCGACTTTCCAGAAAATTCCCTAAAACATCTGACGAAATTTCAGTAGAACGATAAGCGCCACGTAGTAAACTTTAATTTTATAAACGTTTATTATTTTAATTAAAATATATCTCAAAATTTTATAAGAGTTTTAAATTAAAAATAATTTAAACTATTTTAGAATAAATAATATCGATAAATCTGTGATATTTAATCAATTGCGAAACTGTGTTATAAAACTGTAGATGACAGTAAAGCATTTCAAACGTACACAATGGCGCTCAGTATGAGACAGAGGTGAGAAGGCGGCGGTCCAAGTGGCGAAGAAATATGACAGAAATGTGTTCTAGCGTCGTTAAAAACGACGTCGACAAAACCGAAGAATATAGAAGAGTCGTAGAAGAAAAGGATAAACTTATTAAAAGACAATTTATAAGGATAGAAGAACTAGAAAATGAATTAGCGGTGATTAAACAGGAGAAAGATGTTCTACTCTGCGATATCAATAAATTGCGTTTCGAGTTAGAAATGAGCGAATTGAAACGCTTGAAAGATGCGAGGTGAGTTATGAAATTGATTAAAAAAATTCAAATTTAAAAATTTAAATATTGTAATCGATTAATTTAGCAAACGGCATTCGTTGTAACACGTGTTAATTGAGCGAAATGGGGAATTTAAAATATGTTGTGCAACTTTTTTAGGGGTTAACTTATCTGCAGTATGGCTTACGATAAATATGCATTTAATTTATCTTTTTTTTATTTTTAACCATATCGTGACTTGAAGGTGATATATATATAAATGCCAATGTTTTTTTTCCTACTCACGCGAATTATTATTTATTTTTAGTTATAGAAAAATCGATAAATTTAGTTTTAAAAATGTAAAAATTTATTTAAAATAATCAATTTTTTTTAAAGACTACGTAAAAAAAATGTAGTTAGTTTAATTTTGTGCGATTAAATAAGGATTAAATGCCTTAATAACGTGTTTATTTTTCTCATTTAAAAATTATTAGAGCGTAGTTAGATGTCAGGGAATATATTAATTGATAAGTAAAGATAAAAAGCGACGTAGTTTATTTAATATTTATCTTATAAACAAGCTGTATCGGAAGTAATTTGTTTGGAAAAGTAAGGTTTTCTGGAAAGTGAATAAAACTTTTTCACAAAGAAATTTTGTTTGTTCTCATCGGATATTTGTTAGAAAAAAGTAAAAGAAAAAATACCTCCATATTTTCATCCTTTTTTTTCATTAAAATTTAAACAAAAGGATGTAAAATAAAATAAAAAAACCTTCGATCTACGAGGTGAAAGATGCGACTCGACTAGAAACTGGAACACAGATGCATTCAGCCATTTAATACTGAAAAAAAAAATAAATAAATTTTTACTTTTGTTCACTTTGCATAGCCTATTTTTCGAATAAATATCGATAAAATGTTTTCGTCTTCGCATATTTTTTACTTTAAAATTATAGAAAATCGTGTATGTGTGTATGTGTTTTTTTTATATCACTTGAAAGACAATTTATTTAGTTTTTGGTGTGTTTAAATATATTTTTTTTAGTTTCTGGTGTGTACAATGTATTTTATCGATCTCTGGATACTTTAAATTTAAATTTATTCGAATCTTGCACCTTTTTTAATTAAAAAGGAGTGGTTTAGAAGAGTTTACTCTTAATTATATAAGAGGAAAAAATAAACAAACATACAGACGCATTTTTCCTGTACAAATGTTTTTCTAAAAAATGAAGGACTTAAAAATTTTTCTCTTTATTAATATGATAATTCAAAATTTTTAGTTAGTTACGGGGTGAATAGTTGACCTTGCAAAGTCATACGCTTCAGTATCCCACTCGCACACGACCCATATTAACTAAGAGACGTGACGTCTGGGCAGGTGGCACGTGTCATTGTCGACGTCGTAACAATACCGGACCGGTTACGCCACTGCGAAAACAACAGATTTGTTTCTAGGGACGTCAACTATTTAAGATGCCAAAAAAGTGGACGAAACTCGTAAAAAATGTGCGTGTGTATTTTTTTTGATCGGTTGGCTTAATCGAAACCTAACTCCCGAAGCGTTGACAGATGCAATAATTCAAGCCTCTCTCATTTCTCTCTCCTCGTTCCCTTTTGAGTTTGGGACCGAAAGACGTGACCGAGAACGTTTTCGAGAGGTTTAACTTGCCGAACAGACGATTGACGTAGTAGAACGAAGAAAAGATGCTTTCGAGGAACTTGACCTTTGACTCCTCGTTTCCCCCCGTCTGGTCACCGACAACGACGATTGAGTTAGACGATACCATTCCTTCCATTCTTTTTTTTTAAAAACGAGTTCCCGAACAAGGATGGGTTTTCCTGTTCTTTTACGTTGTCATCGAAGTTCTGTTCTCCTTTTTTCGTCAGTAGGCCCTCTAAATTAATTTTTTTTTTCGTATTCGAGCATTGTCCGTTATTGTAGAGAGTCAAGTCTGAAGCATTGAAAAGGCGGAATTCAAAGCTTATTTTCTCAATATATTTTGCTTTTATTTACAGAATTTTACTTCGAAGAGAGTTTTTTGTATTAAAAATTTATTTAATCATTCATTTTTTTGGAATTTTGACTTAATTTGGTACCTAGAAATGCAGTTTCTTGTAGCGTATTGTCTGTGTTCGAATTTTCGAAATGTAATCAAAGGGTCGCTAAATGAAAAACCCGTTTAGCCTCATTTTTAAAATTATTTTATAAAAATTTCTTTTTGTTTTAATTGTATTTCTTATCTGTTTTCGTGATAGAACAAAAGATTATCATCTGATACTTAATATCATGCAAGATAAAGAAGAGTTGTGGAGGCTTTTATACTCCTAATCGTTTCAGTGATTTATAAGTAGAACATACAATATTTTACTCATATAAACATAATAAACGATCGTGTTTTCCTGCACAGATCGATAATTTACACAATGCAAAATTACATAACCGAGTAATTAATCCCACTTCGGTTTATCGCAATGGAGGATTTGTCACGGAATTTTACTCTGCAAGAACTTAAATTTTGCGCTAAATTATTCATTATTCGCCACCAAATGCGGTGGTTTTTTCATTATCTTTTATAAGTTAAATATTATATTACTATGTTTTAATCGTAAAACGGGTCGGGAGCGAACGAAGAAGAAATCGATTTCATTCGAGGCAAGCAAAATTATCGAAGAATTATTCGCAAAAACACGAAATTAATCGATTCAATTTTCTTTCCAATGTCTGTCTGTACCGAGAGTACCGAGATATCGGTCCCATCACGTGATTGTTCTCGGCCAATACCGTACGTCATCTCGTATGGGGGTGAGAGTAAAGCAACTAATAATAATACTCGCTCACATCTGGTGCATGAATCTCTCCCTTTTGGTTGCGCAAAACGCTTCCGCTTTGGATGGTCACGGGCTCGTGACTCGCGAGTTACATGCCAAATCACGCCGGTCACGTTCTCTGTTGGACGCGTGATTGCTTCTCGGTTGCAACGCACCCCCCAGTTGCAAACACTGGTTGAAAGGACGAGGTCGTTACCGAAGATGGTTATTTGGCACTAAATGTAGATAAACGCTCGGATCGATAATGTCTCTTTGCTTTCTCGTTCTTTGCTGCTTTTTTTAAGAAAGAAGAATATTCGTCTTAATGATTTTGATGGCTCCGGCTTTGAGGGATCCTGTTTTTTGCAACTTACACGGCCCTACGGTGACTTCAAGCTTGTCTATTAATAATAATCGATATATTTTTAAAAATCCTTTTAGACAAGAATTACGGTAATTTAACTCGAATTATATAATAAATTAGTGTCGTTCTCGAATAAAAAGGTAACTTTTAATTATGCCACGCGATTGTCTTCCTCCATTCCATGCTGTGGGTGCGTGTATTGCGCCCCTCTTTGCGTTCGCGTGAGAGATTGGTTTTTAAATTCTTTTATCGAAACAATTTAATTACACGTTCTAATCTGTTTAGAATTGATAATTTTATTATCGAAGCATTCGAAATTTGTAAAAGTTCCTTAATTAATTAAAAAAGATTGATGTGTTAGATTTATTCTGTTAAACTTATACCGGTATATTAAATAATTAAATACGAGAAGGTAATTATTATACTCGTAAAAACATTGAGTTGTTTTTTTTTCTTTAGTCGAGGATTGAATAAACTGGAATTTTACTTGTGGTGCAGTTTTTGCTTTGTTATGACTATATGAAATGACTTAAGTGCCACGTTTTTTGTTATAGACCATTGTATGGTATCTAAATGGTTCGAACTGTTTCGGAAAATAGGATCTGAGCACTTATGTGGTGATTCGATTTACGACGGCTCACTTAACGACTGTTTTTTCAAGAATAAATTAGTAAAGTTATACTATTTTGTAGTAGTTTAAATGTCTTATTCTCTAAGAGAAAACGGTATAAAATTTAAAAAACGACTTCCATTAAAATTCCTGTTTTTTCCCTTCATAATTTGATATAATTTAAAGTTAGCCTATTTTTTTTTCTTTCGTCGAATGTTTACTCGTCACCCAAAGCTGTAATAATCGTAGAAACGTGAAGTTCAAATATTTTATAGTTTTAGCTTTATATTTACATAAGCGTAAAAACAAGGAGGTTTAGCAGTTAGCGATTCTTTGGCACCGCTCAATATAACCTCAGTCAACCTATTGATCTGGCATCAAACACTGGCAGTGGTGTTCACTAGGGTACACGCTGGTTCGGCACCATTGTTCCTCTCGCATTATTTTTCCTCTCTCGGGAGAGGGAGTATCTGCTTTCACTTCATTCTTCGTCGCCATAGGTCAATGCTGACTTCCGG